GTCTGGGAGTCCTTTCCATTTGTTCCCCATTTCTCTCTCACCCCTTCTCCCTCCCTGGGAACTGTGCAGCGGGTGGGGAAGGCCATCAAGGGGATGCTGGGAAAAGGATGAAGCAGCCCCGCTGCCAGAGCCCAGAATTTTAAGGCAGAAAACGAAGGGGGAAATTTCCAAGGCCCTGGAGAAAAAGTGCAAAGCTCTTCTACTTGCCATGCAAAGCAGGTGCTGAGGCCAACCCTACAGGAAGCAATCTGCTCCTCCATGCAAAACCTCGCAGAGGAAGGAAGGAAGGAAGGAAGGAAGGAAGGAAGGAAGGAAGGAAGGAAGGAAGGAAGGAAGGAAGGAAGGAAGGAAGGAAGGGTGAGAATGAGATATCAAACTTCTCTGTGTGTGTTTTTGTATGTGTGTGTGAGAGAGAGACACAGAGGTTTGATCGGATTACCCTCTGCCTCCGCCAGTGCCGGTGCCATCCCAGTATGTTTTGGAAGGGAGATAAAAATAAATCCTGCAGCCTCTCTCTCTCTGCCACCGTGTAAACCCCAGCACAGGCAACAGTAGTTGCACCCTCTCCCTTCCAAAACACACCAGGATGTAATCTGAATAACACCAGCAGCAGTAAAACGCTTCCCAAAAGGGGAGCAACAAACAGAAAGGGCACCCAGACTTGAATCAAGTGCTGCTGCTGACTTGGTACTGGTAGGAGTGGCTTTTACACTTTACTTTTTGCATGCTGTGTCGCCCTGCTATTTCTTGTGTTTGGCTGGGTCTTGGGGTGCCATCCTGAGCAGGCATTGAGCTGGAGGTGGGGGAGATCAGTCCCCTTACCTGGCTGCCTTCCACCATTTCTCATCAAGTGTGTGTGTGTGTGTGAGAGAGAGAGAGAGAGAGAGAGATAGAAAGAGAAAGAGAAAAAGAAAGAGAGATACAGACACAGAGTCAGAGACAGAGAAACAGTGGAGAGCAAATCCTTTCAAACAGCGTTGTCTGCAATTCAGCTGGCTCAATTGATCTGCGGGCCATGGTTAAGGGGCCAAGCAGCCCTGAGGTGACCGGGGAAGGAAAGGACTGCCTCCTGTGCTGGCCATGCCTACCCCCTTCATTAGGGCTTATTTTGGGAGTAAGGCGTACATTAGCCCCTTCCAAAATAGGCTTTGGCTTATTTTTGGGGTGGGTCATATTGTTGGAGAAACACAGTAGCAACAATGGTGCACTGGAAGATCTGCAAGAAATACCATTTAACTGCAAGCCAGAATCGGTGGGACGATAAACTAGAGAAAATCAGAAAACGAAGAAGCTAAAGTGCTCTGGGACTTTAGAATTCAAACCAATAGACATGTGTCACATAACACCCCATACTTAACAACTGTCGATAAGCAAGACAAAGTCTAGACAGTGGATGTGGCAGTTCTTGGAGACAGCAGATTAGAAGAGAAAGAACTGGTAAAATACAAAGACCTCCATATAGAAATAGAATAATTGTGGCAAAAAGAAAAAGAAAGGTGGCACCAATAGTAAAAGGCACCTTGGATACAATGCCAAAACAACTGGAGCACCATTTGAACACCATCAGTCCTGACAAATTCACCATCACTCAGCTGCAAAAGGCAGCTTTACTCGAAACAGCTTACATCTTGCAATGGTATCTGTAACACCATCAAACATTGGGAAGGGCTCAATAGGTGGACAAAAATGCCAAATCCAGTCTGAATATCTGGCCGACTGTGCAAAGAACCATAATAATAAAAACTCTAGTAGCATTGACCAAATCACCATCACTGAATTGCAAAACACACTTTTACCCAGAATAGCTTACACACTATGATGATACCTTTAAAGTAATCAAACAACAATATCTGCCTATCCCAGGGGTCTTCAAACTTGACAGCTTTAAGACTTGTGGACTTCAGCTCCCAGAATTCCTTCTCAGTCATGTTAGCTCAGGAATTCTGGGAGTTGAAGTCCATAAGTATTAAACTTGCCAAGTCTGAAGATCCTTGCCTATCCCAATCCTTGGGAAGAATTTGATAGATGAATAAAGATGCCAAATGCAGTCCTAACATCTGGCTGACTGTTCAACCAACCACAATAATAATAAATGTCTAACCATTCAATGTGAAAGGAAAATACAGAACTTTTGAAATACATTATGGATATCAGAAAAGTTTGACAAGCTGAAAAGGAATAGAATTCTCAACTTTTATTAAACGCCATTAACCACAGAACCATGAATGACATGTTTGTTACCAAAATAATATCACTGTACCAAAATGTCCCATAGAACAACCTATTTATAATTCTTCTTGCAAAATTTAATGTTTAAAATAAAAAAGAGAAAGGGATAACCTGCATAAAGGCTCATTTAAAAAAACAGAGAAAGCTGTAGTAACTTATATAAAGAATTGTTCATAAATATTTCCCTTTAACACATGGGATACAAGCCCTATCATTTCCATAATCGCAAAGTTTCAGCAGCTTCTTTGTTGTAAAGGACTCAGTGGAAATACAAATAGAAATAATTTCTGGATGGAATAGAATGTTAAAATAAGGGAATTCAATCACAGGTGATTGTATTTGCTTATTTGTAAAATAGAAATAAAGGCAGGATACAAAAAAATAAATAAAAACATTTGTTCTTATCCTCTTTCTTTTATAAATGTAATTTTTTTTCTGCTTTTTATCATGGATTATGCAACATTTCAGCCAAACTTCACCAAACTTGGTAATGCATATCAAGATTTCATGTGTATCAACTTTCACTGTTATGAAATATCCAGTTTTATTTCATTAGCAGTAAAATGTAATTGAATAGTCACTTCATTCTCTATATAGAGCATGATTGCACCCTGCTAATTTGGCAAACAAGCATAGTGTCATCATTTACAACCTGCTAAGTATCACCCCATATTTCTACTTCAACTCAAGAGTTCATAATTACATCCCCTGGGGAGTTATTATTTAGGTCAGACAGACAGTAAGTTTTGAAGTTGTTGTATGATTTCACCAGGTTTCAAAAATACTGATTTAGCTGTTCTGATGGAAAGGAGGCCATTTAGTAATGAAATATATTGCTGTTACTTCTCCTCTCCTTACCTCTTCCATTAATTTAATGGTGGTTATAAAGAGAAAAGCTTTGTAAAGAGAACTCTGAGAGCATGGAATATTTTCAGTGAATTTATTGTATATTCTAAGACCCACAAATGTTTGTGAGCATTAAACAGTTTGATAGTGGAGCTTCTTTCAGGTATAGTCAGTGTCACTTCTTGTCAGTGCCACTGTAACTGATTATTCATTATAAATTTAGCCAATTTATATTCCACTCAAGGCAAGGGAGCAGTTTTATCAATAGCTGCTCCTACTTCAAAATCTCACTCTGAAGACTATGTTTGAAAGTAAATTGTCAAAGTATCAAACACAGAGATCACATGACAGTCAACATTCAATATAGCAGAAAAGACTGAAGATACTGGAGATTTACAGTGAAGGAGAACAGGACACCTCTCTGAACACTGTCTGGGAGGCTGTGGTTGCTGCTGTACAAAATGTTGATCGTCAACAGATCAGGAAATTGACAGACTCCATGAATGGGAAGTCTTATCATTGTTATTGAAAAGAAGGGTTTCAATATTATAATTGCTCCTATTTGTACACAATGTTTAGAGTTAGATTTTGAAGATTTTGTTTATTATACGTAGAAGATATGTATATCTTTGACTCTTATATTTGTAAAACACATCTACAGACGTATTTTGTATTGAAAGGTATAATGAAATACCAGTCTCATTTATACAGAATACAGTAGGTTAAAAAGTTGTATAAATGTATTTAAAATATATACATACTTGAATAATATTTGCATTAAACAAGTATATATAAAATTGTAGCTGTTTATTGTTATGACATATATTTTATTTTTCTTGAATTTCTTCATATTTTTTGCTAAAGCCTTTTTTACATGCTTTTTCTACTCTTTGAAAATATACATAAAATACTTGTAAAATATTGTGTACTGCATTATCAACATGACACAAAATTTAAAACAAATAAATATACATCAAAAGTAGATAATTTGAAATATAAAAGTATCAATCTCACATGTATACATATTTTTTGAAAAAATGAATGCATTTTATAATCTTCAGTTAACAAACTTTTTTATATAATGAAAAAAAAGAATGCTACAAAATTATATAACTTATGCAGTAAAATAAAAACATGATTTTCACAGTGAATGACAGCAAATGCCACAGAATATCTATAAAACTAGATTATAGGTCCTGAATTTACATGTATTATAGGACTTGATTGTGATCAATAATCTAGAAAAGTCATTTTTAAAAATATGAATCAGAATGGAATCATGTATAGCCCCACTGCTCACATGAGGAAAAGAAAGTCCTTCACAACATATAGTACCAGGAACTATCAGAAAAATATATATGACAAGGCTGCAATTATATATTTCACCATAAGGGACAATATGCATTGTGTGACATTATGTGAGATGAAAAGTCCTTTCCCAAGTCTCCTGTTCTATAGACCAGGGGTCTCCAACCTTGGCAACTTTAAGCCAGGAGGACTTCAACTCCCACAATTTCCCAGCCAGCTTTGCTGGCTAGGGAATTCTGGGAGTTGAAGTCCTCCATGCTTAAAGTTGCCAAGGTTGGAGACCCCTGCTATAGACTATCACATAGAAAAGTTCTGATTTTCAGACTGATTTTGCACTGCTTGGTCTGTATAAGTTATTACAAGAAGCATATTTCTTCTTTGTAAAAGACTTGGATTATTTTTATATTTTAATATCCACGTACCATTGGACCGATTAATATATTTTTTTTTAAGAATCACTTTTCTCCTTTGGATATTTTGCTATTCAATATCTAATTGTGGCTCAGGTTTTTTTTAAAAAAGAATAATTTATTCTGTCGTATTATAAGGTAAACCAGATTCTATGGTTTTGATAACATAGATGTGAAAACGTCACTTTTCCAAATTGTTCTGCTTACCTGGCCGTGAGACCTTTGAGCTGTTGAAAACTGCTTCTTGCAAGCTGCTACAAAGAGGCTGGGGGTTTGAGTTACCATGGAGATCTTTACATTCAACAGTGGAGAAATCTGGAATGATACAATGAAATATTTTGTCAGGTGAACTTTAGAATGGAAAAAATACCCATACTCTTATGGCCATCTTCTCCAGTTTATTTGCCACAACCAGCAAAAAAAAAACTTACTATGTAATCAAATGAAAATATTAATTTGGACAGTTAAATGCTCATTAAAAAAAATCCAAATGGATAAGTACTGAAGCTTAGTCCCAAAATCAGCATCTAGAACAGCCAATAATACAGTTAAAGGCCTTAATGAAATATGTTACCAATCAGTTTGGTTTACACATCACACTAAGTGCATAACGTCTTTGGTTTTGAGCCTCAGTTTATGACTCAGCATAACAGATTACCAAGCCTTTTCAGAAACATAGTCAAAATAAAACATAGCATAATGCAGTACAGGTTGCCCTAGTTTAGCAACTGTCTTGTTTAGCAACTGTTTGAAGTTATAACTGTGCTGAAAAAGTAACTGTGACTGGACCTTGTGCTTACAACTGTTGTAGCATGCCTATCGTCATGTGTTTAAGATCCGGGTTGCTTTACAATTGGTTTAAGTTGTGCCCTAGCAGCCCATGGTCACCTGATCACAATTTGCACACCTCACAGTTGGCTTCCAACAAGCAATATAAATGGAGTATAGCTTGTGGTAAAATTGCAATTTGCGGTAACATGATGTCTCACTTAACAATCACATGGAAGTGAACAAGTAAACCTATCATAGTTATGTGATATTTTCCTTAACAACCACATCATTTAGCAACAGATTTGCTGGTCCCAATTGTGATTGTTAAACTAGGACTACCAGTATGCAAAATCAGCTGGATGATATTTGCCTATATGGATCAAGATTTGATTTGGTGCTAAATAGCAAATGATTACTGGGTTTCTATGAAGCTGCTTGGAAGCGGAGATTCTCAGTGTAAGGTAAATTATATCCCCTTAATAACACTGGATTCCAAGTGACTCCATGTACTCCATATAGATTTCTTAAAACAGCATTGAAGTCCTTTGGTACTGCCTCCTGGGATAGTTTGTCCAACCTCCCAGTCTAGTCCTTGGCTGTTCAACCAAATACTAACCAGGACCAAGCCTGCTTAGCTTTGTCCACTAGGATCCACTAAGGTCAACAAGGTGCTGCTACTTGCAATGATTTACAAGCACTCTAATAAGAAGACAAATGGTGTGCTCTTTCATGCAGTATAAGATGGTAAAATGTGCTTACATTATGCCACACCTGAATTGAGACACCAGAATTCAAAGGGAGAACTCATGCTATGCTACTCCTCCATATCAACTCTCTGTTAACAAAAATTAACAGTTGCAGGGGGATGGACAGAAAAATCTGCCACTGTGACTCAGGGCTGTTGCTTTTTTATTTTTTACGATGCCATAAGAAACAAGTCATACTATTGGCTTTCATTTGAAAAATACTGTATCATAAGAATACAGAAGATGCTTTCTATGTAAAAGTTCAATTTCCAATTCTGCAACTCAAAATTTTCATGAATCAGAGGTCAGAAAAACACAAATAACAGATATCTATGGTTCTGGAGAGACATGACATTGCTGTCCAATTTCAAATAGAACAGGAATATGGAAATAAGGAGGACAGGGCTAGAAACCAAACCTAAAAAAGCTGCCTTCCAGATTGATTTAGACCCCGCATGGGGTAGAATCAATCTATTAGTCAGTCAGTCAATCAATCAGAAACAGATAATAAGAGTTGGAAGGGACCTTGTAGGTCATCTAGTCCAACTCCCCGCCAATCAGAATAGAGCTGGAAGGGACCTTTTAGTCCAACCCCCTGCCTAAGCAGGAGACCCTATACCATTTCAGACAAGTGGCTGACCAGTCTCTTCTTAAAAACCTCCAGTGATGAAGCCCCTACAACTTCTGAAGGCAAGCTGGTTAATTTTTCTCACTCTTAGGAAGTTTCTCCTTAATTTCCATGACCAGATTCAAAAATTGTGTGAATATTTTGGTCGGAGCCAGATTTGGTCGTGGTCAGAAGCGTTCGTGACCAGAAGTTCTATTCTACTTAGATTTCTGCTTGAATTTCTGGGCAGATTTTTCAGGCAGAATCAACTAGAAGGCAATGGCTTACAACCTTCCCTGCTGGCTTCCCCACTGATTTTCTGGGAAACCAGCAGGAAAGATTGCTAATAACAATCACATGATAGGGCACTTGGCAACCACTTCTGCAAACCTTCTTAGGTGTGTACAGATTGCCAAGTACCCAGATTACCATCATGAGGATACTGAAATAGCTGTAACTTTGGGCACAGATCATAAATCCCTTCAGTACTGTCATAATTTTCAGTGGTTGCTAAAATAATGTTATTTTAGTGTGAGGACTACTTGTACATAAAAGCCTTGGTGGATTGTTTAGCTTCTATAAGAATTAGAATATTCAAATATTATCATGGCAGCATATTATATATTTTATTTCTGAGGTCACCTTATGCAGTGTTAATTGCAAATCTCAAATTAGTCTGATTTGGCAGTCTGAAGTGCAGAAATAGAAACAAATTTACATATATAAGCTACTCCTTTTTAAAGGAGGTTGTTAAAAGATATTTTACATTAAATTTAAAACATATTAAAATACTCAGTAAGTTATAATTATAAGAGCTATTAAAATTTGTGACAGTAACATGATTTATCCAAAGGATGAAATTTTAAAAGCTATTTTGCCATACTTTCAAAGAATTAGCAGGCTTGGCAATATTTTTACCATAGCAGGAAAAGATTCATATCACTGAAACTATTTCAGAAGTTTTTAGAATTGCTTTTGTTTCCACATGGAAACCATTTCTGAATTTTGTGCTTGATGTGGAAAAGAATGTAATTTTGACTTTGGGTTTTATAGATTAGATTGACAGAGTTTTATAGAAATGACTTGTTCGTATTACTATGGAAAAACACAATTTGATGCTAATGCCTTATTTTACTGCAATAGAATGAAGAAGTCAATGCTTCTTTTTCTTTTCTTTTCCCTACCTTTCCTCACTTCTCTCCCCCTTCCCCTTTTCGCCTCATTGTTATTTATTTTTGTATTTTATAATACTTAATAACCTAATAAAAATGTTTGAAAAAAATAAGTTTTAGAACTGCAAAAAGTTTAAATGCTTCCTGTTAAGAAGTACGTGGTAACAAAAAAATCCATAAACAGAAAAAAAAATAGCAGCCAAAGGATATGGAGAACACTAGCAAGTCAACCATTGGAAGTTAAAGAATTCTTAGTCATGTTAATTGTACAAAACATGTCAGTCTTTCTTCATATACATCTCTTCCAAGGATAACAAAGAAGATGTAAGAATGAAACAAAATATATTAATTGAAAATTAAAGAGACATATTCTCAATTTATCTTCAAGGCAAAAGCTACACTAAACAAAATTCAACGTTTGTCTGTCTTACTTGATGATAGTTAAATTACAACTCTAAATCCTTGAGGATTCTGAATGTCTTACAATGATCCAGTTATTTTTAATCATTGTTTGCTGAGTAATACTGTGGGCTATTCACGAACGATATTAAATTACAATGCTGAGTGTAAATAATGATAACAATAGAGTTATCATTCTATCCTTGTAAGCCACCTGGAATTACCAAGTGTGAATTGCGCAGCCGTATACATTTTAATAATAATAATAATAATAATAATAATAATAATAATAATAATAATAATAATAATAATGATGATGATGATGATGATGATGATGATGATGATGCAAAGTCAGATAATGTAAGAAAGGCAGCAATTCATGCAAATATTCTCTAAGTGTCATCTGGGAATTTGACAATGGCTGGATCCTGTTACACTCTCCTGTTCATAATCTGCATTTTGCATGATCAAATCATATTCTTCTTTAGAGATACCTGATAGCAGAAAAAGATTTGCAGAGGTAATAAATCAAGTTAAAGCACAATTATCTTTAACTGCAGAAATAGCAGACAAATCATGCAGACCAACAGTTGCTGATTCAGGAAAGGATTGGAAGTTAAATTAAAATGTCTTTTTTTACTATTTATTGCCCTTTTCCATTTCACGTCAAGTTCCTAGAATCCATCCAGTGTAAGCTAGAAAGGATAATGAGTTTCTGAACACAAACTCTAATGGGACATGTTGCATGAAAGCTTTCAGCATTTGCTTGGATTCTGCTTCCCAGCAGTACTAAACAACTTAAATATAATTAGCTGAAAGCTCCACAGGCTACATTTCTTCACTAGAATACCTCTTATACTAATCCATTCATCTGGCTGACAGATGACTGAATCATCGGTAATATGAGGTCTATTCCATTAATACTGTTGTGGTCAAAATCCCAAGTATCCTTTAATAGCTTTTTGACAATTGCATCATTTATAACCAGTAAGCAAAACAAAGAGACACATACAGATTTTTTTTTTCTCCTCTTGATTTTATGTCTGTCCCACAATATAATCACTTTAGAAATGTGGACTAGGAAAGAATTTTGTTTGAAGCATGCTAACTCTGTTTAGTGAAAAGAAATCACTTTATGATTAGTTTTGTTGTGTTGATATTTTAACAACAAACTTCACAAATACCTTTTTAGGAATTAATTGCCCATTTAAAGTACTCAGTTACCAAATATGTTTTCATTTCATTCAAATTCTTTATCCTATTCATAATCCCTATTTGCCTCAGAATAGGATGTGGAAATTAGACTCTCGCAAGTGCCAAGAAAACTTATTTAAGGAAAATGCATACATACATCTCAGAAGACTTATGATAAATGCTTTGGACTTTATATGGGCACAGTGTTTCTCTGCTCATTTAAGTAACCAGACCCCTCCCCCCCCTCTTTTTTTAGATTTCTGCATGAGTCTGAAAAAAGAGATCCCTACCTGAAGAATAGAATTAGCCTTAATAAATAGTTTCCTTACAGCAGTTTGAGAAGGAGGAAAGCTGCAGTAGTTCTTAGAGTTCATTAATAGCAGATAGAGCTCCAAATATATTTGACAGGGGTGTCAAACTCAACTG